CAATTTACAAACTCACGCTTCAACTACAACCCTAATTATATTTAAAAACATTTTAGAAGGCCTCACAAAATACTTTAATGTAAATGAAAATGTAAATGGGATGTGTGTAATGTATGTGGTGATTGACATTATTCACCCACGGATCTATGGGTTGGGGTATTGTTCCGCACGGACATTTTAGTTAACCGGACTTACTGTTGATGTGAAATCCGAAAGAAAATTAAAAAATAAAATAATACTTTATTCCGAGTTTGCTTGCTTTTCTCTTTGGAGGTCATCACATAACGGCATTGTAATACACGGTTCGGCTGCATTAAATATTACATAACTGCCGTAGTTCTGTATGTATAGAGCCCTGATGAGAAGACTTCTGGACAAACAGGAAGCACTGCCGGCAAAACTGAAAACGTGACGTGGATCATAAATATATCAGCAATTAAACAACATCTTACATTTATTTTCACACAATACGTCTCCTTGCAGTATCAATACTAATTCGGCTGACTTTTATATTTGATCCAATTGGTAGATAGGTTATATTTACACCATAACGGTGCACAGCTGATATAAAAGGACTTAAAGATATTACTGATTTTCTTTGAATATAAGAATGTAAATACTGAGTTGAGAGAATAGTCAGGGGATTTGGGTGATGGGAGACACATCTATGGATTCAGAATTTCAATAGCTTACTGTTAAATGACAGATATACCTTTCTGTCTGTGATGTTTTACAAATCAGATATTAGAAGTAAAACATGTGAAATAATATAGCAATATCCTGTACAATGTTATACATACACAAGTGTCCTACACTAATAATACAAAGTTAGTATGGCTGTGTGTACCTTGTGTGCACCGCCTAGTGGTTAAAGCACATTATTGAATTAGTTGTGTATGATATGTCAATGAACCTTAGAAAATCTTGAAATCTTGAAAGGGATATGCAAAATAGCCATTATATACAGTCTTTAATTAACTATTAGTAGAGAATAACGAGTAATGAATATACTTTATAGGGATCTGCAGATAAATGTTTAGTCTTCTCAAGCAGCAACTATCAAATATCTCTCCTGATTGTTGGCACTTGACAATCACCTTTCCCTGAATTGTACTCAGGTGTAACTAAAGCCTGATTTAAGGGTTGTTTATATTTCACATCATTAATCAGAATCTGCAAAGTAACTAAAATAAATGTAGTGGAGTAAAAATACCAGGTTAACCTCTGAATTGTAGTGGAGTAGAATTGCTGTTTTGTTTAGTAATGGATATTGAATATGGAATAAAGGTTTTGACAAGACCTGGTGTAACAATAATCAAAAAGGGCATTAAAAGAGCTCCAGATGTTAATGATCTAAACAAAACAGCACACCTGAAATGTATATTTAAATACTTTATTAAGGGCAGTGAATTCGTTTTTTCTGTATGTTTTTCAAATCAGTGTTAGACAGTAAGTGTCATAGACAGTGTTACATTGCTATTATTATCCTTAAAATATATGTAAAACAAAACCACTTATGATCTTTTTATTTGAGTGGTTTACTAATGACAGTTAATTCTGTTTTTGCTATTGATGGTTTCATTTTTGTGAAAAATAATAAAATAATAAAATTCAATAACGTGCTTTAACCACTAGATGTGCCTTTCTATCAGCTGTGCACGGTTATGGTGTAAATACAGCCTATCTACCAATTGGATCAAATATAAAAGTCAGCCGAATTAGTTTTGATACTGCAAGGAGACGTATTGTGTGAAAATAAATGTAAGATGTTGTTTAATTGCTGATATATTTATGATCCACGTCACGTTTTCAGTTTTGGCGGCAGTGCTTCCTGTTTGTCCAGAAGTCTTCTCATCAGGGCTCTATACATACAGAACTACGGCAGATATGTAATATTTAATGCAGCCGAACCATGTATTACAATGCCGTTATGTGATGACCTCCAAAGAGAAAAGCAAGCAAATTCGGAATAAAGTATTATTTTATTTTTAAATTTTCTTTCGGATTTCACATCAACAGTAAGTCCGTTTAACTAAAATGTCCGTGCGGAACAATACCCCCAACCCATAGATCCGTGGGTGAATAATGTCAATCACCACATACAGTACATTACACACATCCCTTCACATTTACATTTTGATTTACATTAAAGTATTTCGTGAGGCCTTCTAAAATGTTTTTAAATATAATTAGGGTTGTAGTTGAAGAGTTTGTAAATTGCACACCAGTCTATGATCCACACACATGGATTAACATCGATTTAATACATTAATGTAGCCTTTGTTTCTGCTAAAAGAGGTGTCGACCAGCTAGGGCAACAAGAAAATTGGCGAAATCGAGTGTGAAGAT